GTCTGCAATCAAACAACCAAGCTCAGAGAGCACCAAGGACTCCACAGTTCAACCCTGAGCTCTCCTGTTAATATCTTCAAGTACATGCAGTCTGTGTTTTAGGTAATAATGCCACCATCTTTTCTGATATTCAGGTAGGCATAAGAGAGGAGAGTGACCATCAAACAATCACTGTTAATTTCTATGAATGTTCAGACATCATATCACACTTGATAAATGGGATTTGTTCCGTTCAGAGGTATATCAGAAAAAAAGGATAAAGTGGTACAGAGTGGACACCAATGCTCTGAATAATTATATGAACTCCAAGCAAATTACAGTATGTCCCTAGTGGGCATGGTGATATTGCCAGAACAGAAGTAGAAATGGCTTTTTCTGCATTTGAAAATCTGGGACCTAGATTAGGAAAATGCCTAATAGAAAAGATACCCCCCAGCGGGAGCCAGTTAGAGGGACTCTATTGGTTTGATGTCTAATGTTGCATAAGGAGGAAGAGATTAAGCATAGCTATAGGACTTGCAAAGAATTAGTTCTCCAATCACAATTGTGCCAAAATGTTAGTACTTGGGCAAGATTATAAGAAAGTAATTGGGTGTAAACCCCCCCCCCCCAAATGTTTGGCCTTAGTCTGGTCTGATCTAGAACTATCTGCAAAAAGTCCTAACCCAATTGTCTTTTGGCACTCAGTGAGGTGTAACAAGGGAGGGGTGAGTCACCCTCTGGGGGAGATGGGCAGCATATAAATGTAATAAATAAATAAAAGTTCTATGTCAACTTCTGGGTGAGAGGAATTTTATAGCCAATAATTTATGGGTTCAAATGATAATGAGGCGGTGGCATTTCATAATTAGCTGCTGTTGCTTGTAATATTTCACCCAGTTGGCCTCCAGGGTCTGTACAGGAGATTAAACGTCTCATTCAGACACAAATTGCATAAGGAGAAGATCTTTTTTTGCCAGAACTGTACAAAAACCATGTTGGATGGTGGGCGCCACCCTTAGCAGGTTTACTTACACATATAAGCAATACCTGCCGTATTCTAGTAAGTAGGGAGCTTTCAATCACAATGCCTATTTACAAAAAAGTTGATAGTCCTTCAAATTATAGAACAATGAGCCTCATTGACATCATGGCAAAAATTGTATGCTAGATATCTTTTGCTTAAGATTGAGGACTGGATAGTAGAAAAGCCTTCATTCCTGCAGAGCAATCAGGCTTTAGGACTGGTCATTCTAACACTGCTAATTGTTTTACTTTATATAACTGTGATATATAAATAAATTTAAAAAAATACTTTTTATTCATCTTATTGGAAAATATGCAGTAAAAGGGAGCCAATTGTTAACAACTTTTACAGACCTTAGCACAGATTTTGACTCAATTCATAGAGATGCACCTTGCAGGAAACATGGTTTTGGATATGGGGACCAGATTTCTCTAGTTCACCAAGACTTTATATACAAACTCTTGCATAAGTGTATGGACAGGAGTGAATGGTGCTTTGAGAAAACGAGCACTTTAGTAGGGTTAGACTGGGGTGTACTTTGACTCCTATCTTGTATAACTTATACTCGAGTGATATCCCAAGACAGCTCCAGTCAACTGATGTACACACAGTGTACCCAGAGTCAGACACAGATGTGTAAACAACTTACTTTATGCTAATGACATGGTTTTGTTATCTTACTCCCAATTGGGGATAAGAAGATTGCTGCGCCAAGTTAGTTCTTATTGTGAACTTAGCTCCCTGGATCTTAATGAGACATAATAACAATGCTAGATATGAGTGGAGGTCAGATGGAGAAGCAATAGATCAAGTTACCCGTACGTGCGTGTGGTCTTTTAGAATCAGGTTCTTGAATTCCACATTTTAAGCAGAGCTCATTAAAGGCTATAGCTAGTTCTAATTCTCTAACCCACCTTGTCAATTATAGCTATCCAGGAACTTTAAACACTATTTTTAAAGTCTATAGTGCAAAAACAGTTCAGATTTTAACAAGGAGCAGAATTATAGGGTTTTATGAATGTTCCTATATTGGAACAAATTCACTCCTCATAATTGAAATGTATCCTGGGCCAAGCTGGGAATATTTACCATATAAAGCCATCTTATAATTGACGTATGTAACTATTGGTTGAAGATCCATCCAGTGAAAACAGACAACAGTCCTGTCACCCATTTGAACATACTTGGGCTTCCCAAAACACGAAAATCACCTTACAACATGGAATTTCAAAACAATTCCTAGTGCTGTACAAGCAGGCCCAAATCTTAAGAAAATGATTGTGTGCTAAGTCCTTGAAATGGCTGCCTACATACAAACTTCTATTGTGTACTGAACAGTATTTAACAGTCTGTATGCCCCAACACCATACGGTAGATGAGTTTTTACCAGGGCATTCTTTGAACAACTCAAATCTGTGGTTAAGTTTGAGAGGTTTTATAGAGTTGTGGAAAAGTTGGACGTATGTAGTACAAATACCATTGAAAATATTGCCCATGTGTTACTTGAATGTCAATTATATGCTGTAGAAAGGGCTGATCGGTTAGAATCCCACATAAAACTTAAGAACTTTTTGGAGAAAAAGGTTAAATTGTCCCAGTAACTGCAGGGAACCAGCTTGTTGGTCGTTAGAATTGCCTGCCTAGAATAATGCAGAAAAGGAACGATCACCTAGCAGAGATTGGAGCTGATTGTATGGGCGATGAAATGATTTGACCCATATTGATACTGATTACCTTTTAAATTGTATTTCATTTCTTTGTGGGTATTTTTATTGTTTGATGATATAATTGGAAGACAAATCAATAAATTGTTTATGTACAAAAGCTTATGCCATAATAAATGTGTTAGTTTTTAAAAGCGCCAAGTGATTCTTTGGTGTTTTTCCATAACTGATATTTCATCCACATACAGAAAGCGCTACTGCAACCATGACCACTTTTTAAAAACAATATATTGGCATTTTGTGTTTAGGTCGTCAAGAAAGAATCAAACTTTTGGCTGGTTTTCAAACTAAAGGGACATGGGCGAGTGTGCAGGAAAATGAAACCTGAAAAAGCAGGATTCAAAACCAAACCATTGATCTTACTGTTTGGGAGCCAGTGTGGCGTAGCGGTTGAGGTTCTAATCCTCACTTAGGCTTGGGGGCCCGCTGGGTGACCCTGGGCCAGTCGCCCCCTCCCAGCCCTAAACCAGGGTCAGGCTGATTCGCACACACGTTGCATCACGTATCGATGGCTTTGCCGTCTGAATTAGACGACCGGAGTGGGAGGACAGACAGACAGACAGACAAGGCAACCGCGCGGGACAGTGGCTAAGACAAGCGACATCCATTTCAGCTCCTTTGTATAGCCTCCGTGCCTGGGGTTAACTGAACCATGTCGCCTGAACCGCCCAGGTTTGTACCGCACCGAGGAGAGCCAGTTGGGCGTCGTGGCGAAGGCGCCAGACCAGAAGCCGGGAGGCCGTTGTTTCCACTCCCGCCTCAGGCACAGGCTCCAGCTGGGCAACCGGGGCCAGTCCGCCCCTCTCAGCCCCGGGAAGGGGGCCATGGCCGGACACTCCGGAAAACGCTGCCGAGGACCCGCCAGGGACCGGCCAGGCGGCACCGGGAGTCCGCCAGCACGAAACGAAACCAACGCGGCGCGACGCCGACTTGCAGACTGGCCGCAGCGAAGCCGCTTATCCGGCGGTGCGGCCCCGAAGCAGCAACCGGCGCGCAAAGAACGGGCCAGATTCGCCGAAGAGCCGCCATCGCGGGCCGAACAGGGAGGCGGTGTGGAT